GGTGTCCCACCGCCTGCCCACAGCTGCGGCAGCCGCCTAAATGTGCGCGGGCCCTGGGTCCAAGTCGTCGTTTCTGGGTTTCTTGCGGGGGAACGAGGCGTCCTGCTTCCCGCCCCGATGGCAGCAGGGCCGGCACGGCGACGGGCCCCGGCCCCGGCCTCGCCTGACCTGCTTCCACCTCTTCAGCTGAAATTTACGTGGGGTTTTCTTGCAGAAAGGGAAACTACTGATGTTGAAGGCTCTTAATTCATCTTCTTAGGAGTATCATGTAACTGCACAAGGGGGAGAGATGAGAAAAGATGATGAAAACGTTCAGTAGCAAAATACGTGTATTGGTCCAGTCATAAATATATTACTTATATCATATATTCCTTGTCAAAACCTTCACAATAACTAATGTATTTAATTTATTATATAGCTGCTCAGGTGGCCTGCTTGTTTTGACTGTTAGGAACATCAGTATTCCTCCTAAACACGTAGGCACAAGATCATTGAAGTCATTTAGGAATTACTCTGTAGGCCATTAAGTAAACTTCATAGGAATGAAGTAGGTGAACTTAGTTTTCAGAGGAAAATCATGGCTTTCCATTTCTACAGGAAGGAAGTGTTTACCATACAAGCTAGATAGGAGCTCCGTGTGCTCCATCCAGGTTGTCCAGATTAGAATCATAGAACCATTAATGTTGGAAGGGACCTTAAAGATCATTAAGTTCCAACCCTCCCACCATGAGCAGGGAACCCCACCACTAGACCAGGTTGCACAAAACCTCATCCAACCTGCCCTTACAAACCTCCAGGGATGGGGCACCAACAACCTCCCTGGGCAACCCATTCCAGTTCCTCACCACTCTTATAGGGAAGAATTTCTTCCTAATATCTAACCAAATCTCCCCTCTCTCAGTTTAAAACCATTACCCCTTCTCTTACCACTGTCTTCTCTGATTAAAAGCCCCTCCCCAGCTTTCCTGTAGGCCCCTTTCAAGTACTGGAAGGCCTCTATAACATCTCCTGGGAGCCTTCTCTAGGCTGAACAGCCCCAACTCTCTCAGCCTGTCTTCATAGCAGAGGTGCTCCAGCCCTTGGATCATCTTGGTGGCCCTTCTCTGGACCCTTTCCAACAGGTCTATATCTTTCTTGTGCTGAGGGCACCAGAACTGTGCACAGTGTTCTAGGTGGGGTCTCACCAGAGCAGAGTAGAGGGGCAGAACCACCTCCCTGGCCCTGCTGGCCACACTTCTTTTGATGCAGCCCAGGATGCAGTTGGCTCTCTGGACTGCAAGAGCACGCTGGTGGCTCATGTCAAGCTTCTCATCAGCTACCACTCCTGAGTCCTTCTCGTCAGGAATGGCTCTCCAGCCATTCTTCCCCCAGCCTGTATATGTGCCTGGAGTTGCACCGACCCAGGTGCAGGACCTTGTTGAACTTTGTGAGGTTGACAGTAGCCCACCTCTCCAGCTAGTCAAGGTCCCTCTGGATGGCATCCCTTCCCTCTTGGGTGTCAGTCACACCACACAGCTTGGTATCATCAGCAAACTTGCTGAGGATGCACTCAATCTCACTGTCCATGTCTCCAACAAAGATGTTAAACAGCACTGGCCCCAGTGACTGACCCCTGAGGGACACCACTCGTGACCTGCCTCCATTTGGACGTTGAGTCATTGACCACCATTCTCTGGGTGTGGCCGTCCAGCCAATCTCTTATCCACTGAGTGGTCCATCTGTCAGATCCTTGCCTTGTCAGTTTGGAGACCAGGATGTCATGTGGGACAGTGTCAAACACCTTGCACAAATCAGGTAGATGATGCCAGTTGTTCTGGCACTCTCCACCATCTCTGTAGCCTTGTTGTAGAAGGCCACCAGATTGGTCAGGCATGATTTGCCCTTAGTGAAGTCATGCTAGCTGTCACCAATCACCTCTTTATTTTCCATGTGCCTTAGCAGACTTTCCAGGAGGATCTGCTCCATGACCTTGTCAGGCACAGAGGTGAGACTGACCGGCCTGTAGTTCCCTGGGTCTTCCTTTTTCCCCTTTTTAAAAATAGAGGCTATGTTCCCTTTTTTTCCAACCAGCAGGTACCTCACCAGGCTGCCATGACCTCTCAAATATGATAGACAGAGGCTTAGCAGTTTCATTTACCAGCTCCCTCAGGACCTGTGGGTGAATCCCATTAGGTCCCACAGATTTATGGGATTATTAGATGTATCATAACACATGCAAGACAGGAAGCTAGCAATTCAGTTTATCTTTGACAGTAAATATATCCTGCATATAGTTGAGCTGGCAGCTCCTGTTTGCCTGGACAAGTTTAAGGAAAGGTGACCAAGCTGCTGGGCTGTAATCTGCTAGTCTGGCCACTCCCACCACCTCTATCTTTAGCCCAAGCCCTCGCTACAAATTGGTTGTTTAAAGAAGTGGGGAAAAAATGGCAGATGCAACATTTTTAATGTTTTCTAATACCTCCGTGATACATGATAACTTCATGATTTTGCAAATTATTTTATGGTTCCATTGAGATTTTTCTGTGATTGTTGTATGGTGAATTTTACTAAAATGTAAGTGCACACTGAATTACATGCTCCCACTATTATGTTTTTTACCTATCAGGACAATGGCATTTATAATATCCTTTATTTATTTTCTTCCCTGTATGAACTACCATAATGATTAAGAAATTTAACTTTGTTCTTCACTTCCTTAAATAATATCAGGAAAACAAAATAAGCTGGAAACATTTTGTTTCTGTGTAAAGTAACAGACCTATTAACCTGCTAAAGTGAAGCTTGTCGTGTATTTTGTTGGTTAGTTGTTTTTTTAATAGAATCATAGAATGGTTTGGGTTGAAATAATTTTTTTAAAGATCATCTAGTCTGACCTCCAGCCATTCATAGGAACATCTTTCTCTAGATCAGGTTGCTCAAAGCCACATCCAGCCTTACCTTGAACACTTCCAGTGATGGGGCATCCATAGCTTCTCTGGGCAACCTGTTCCACTGTCTCATCACCCTTGTCCAATCTAAATCTACCCTCTTTCAGTTTAAAACCTTTGCCCCTACAGGACAGGACACCAAGATCTATCCACCAAGATCCATTTATCTGCATGCTTTCTACCTTACCGTCATTTTACACTTGAGCTACTATTAACCAAGAGCTATGCTGGATTTTAAAGGTGCTCTGTTCCCATATAATCAAAGACAGTATTTCCAACACTGTTCAATGTGTAGGGCACAAAGTAATTTTGGAGGTGTGTTCATGAGTATCTGAGTTGAACCTTCTTGATACCTAATGCTTCTAACTGCAGGAGATGTTTTAGGTACCCTAACAAAATTCTCTTTGGAAAGGTCATGCCTTGCTTGTGATGATTAGGATGTGCTCATAAAGACCTTGTGTGGCTCAGTGAAGTCACTGGAAATCTGTCGACTTGAAAAGGAATGGATCACACTAAGAAAGCTGTTGTGTATTTCCTTTAGTATTAAGCTCCTGTTTACTGCCTTGGTAGGTTGACTTCATCACCAGGTGAAAATGCATTCCAGGTGAAGATCACTGCTCCTGATGAACAGTTCACTCGAGTTGGTGTGCAAGTATTGGACAGGAAAGATGGTTCCTTCCTTGTGAGATACAGGATGTATGCAAGCTACAAAAACCTGAAGATAGAAGTCAAAGCTGGAGATAAACATGTTGCAAAGTCTCCATACATTTTAAAAGGTAAGAAGCAGCACTACACACAGATTTCCCATTGCAGATTTTTCTCAGAAACTGCATGCCAAAATATCTTCTGGGATTAGCATAGGATTCTACAGGACCTTCATACTTCTCAAGACTGTCAAATCCCATTGGTATGATGGATTCATTATGTGTCCTGCATGTACTATTCAAAATAGTAAAAAGAAACAAATGCTGTGAAGCTATTGCCTAACAAATACATGTCTCTACATGCTAGGTGGGACTCTACATGCTAGCTAGGTGGGACTTCACTGGAGTAAAAAAAAAAAGTTCCAACATACACATTTAGAGTTGCCAAAGGTTTGTCCCTAAGCAGTGAATGCTCAGTGTCTGACCCTCTTTTCTGATCTCAGCAGCTCAATACTATGACTTACTAAAAATAAAATCATTGTGTTCCTGATAGGACCCATTTACCATGAAAACTGTGACTGCCCTCAGGAGGAGAGCAGGGTGTGGCTGGAAGATATGAACTGCCCTCAGATTATTCCACAGATTCAAAGAGACCTGGCAAATTTTCCTATTGTTGATCCAGATAAGATTGCGAAAGAAATTCCACAGAGGTTCGGACAAAGGCAGAGTTTGTGTCACTACACCATCAAAGATAACGAGGTATGGAATTGGGTGATCTGAAGTCTATATGGGGATTTGGTGGCATGTCATACAGCTAGCCTGGTCAGCTCTTTCCAGTTGAAAAGCTTCTTACTGTTTGTTCTTAAAGAAAGTTCCTTTGCTTGCTTCCCTGTCCTTGAACACTTTGCAGTTTGTGTATGAACTCAGTAGTCTCTGTCCTACTTTGTAAAGTGCTTTTTGTCCATGTTACAACTGAAGCACAATGAAGGCAGATTACTTTCAAAGCAGTCAATGTGAGTACTGGGCACAGGCCCAAGTCTCCTAAATGCTAATTAATTTTCCTGTTCTCTGAGTAATATTTCTGTGGAGTGTCATGATCATCTAATTTGACATGCACCAATAAATTACGTTGTGCATAATTCTGTGGTAAAGAAATACCACTTAGTTCCACTGAGGATCAGATCTACAGTTCTTTTTAACAAAACTGTATCGACTTCAGCAGTTTCATATGGAAATGAGAACAATGGAACACAACAGAAACAGGCAACCAGTTTCTGTTTCCATGAGACAGCCCTAAAATGTCTGCAAAAGCAAGCAAAGCTTGTAATGGAATCATGGAACCACAGAATTGTCAGCGTTGGAAGTGACTTCTAGAGATTATCTAGTCCCAACTCCCCCACTAAAGCAGGATCCCCTAGAGCATGTTACACAGGACTGCATCCAGACAGGTTTTGAATATCTCCAGAGAAGGAGACTCCACAACCTCCCTGGGCAGCCTGTTCCAGGGCTCTGTCATCCTCACTGTAAATAAGTTTTTCCTCATATTTAAATGGAACTTCCTATGTTCCAGCTTGTGCCCATTGCCCCTCGTCCTGTCACTGGGAACTACTGAGAAGAGCCTGTCTCCATCCTCCCTGCACCTACCCTTTAGATACTTATATATATTAATAAGGTCTGACATCCAGAACTAATTCATCACCTTCCCAGGACAGATGTGAGACTTTGGAAGTCCAAGGTGGCAGTTCTGCTGGCTCTCCCCCTCACTTCTCCAAGAATGGAGAACTCTTATCATTTCATGATCACTTTGCCCAAGATGAACTCCAACCTTTACATCCCCCACAAGACCTTCTCTATTAACAAGCAGCAGTTCCAGCTGGATACTTTCCCTAGTTGGTTCCCTCACCAGATGTGTCAGGAAGTTGTCTTCCACACACTCCAGGAACCTGCAGGACTGTTGCCTTTCTGCTGTGTTATATTTCCAGCAGACATCTGGGAACTTGAAGTCCCCCATGAGAACAAGGGCTGGCAATTGCAAGAGCTCTGCCAGCTGCTTGTAGAATATTTTGTCAACTTCTACATTCTGGTTGGAGAGTCTGTAACAAACTCCCACCATGATGTGTGCCTTACTGGCCTTCCCCTTGATTCTTGTCCATAAACAGTCTACACTGTCATTCACAACATTAAGTTCTAGGCATTATCCTTTTTTTTTCAGTCACTTTTCTGTGATGGGTTAGAGAGGTGAGAATTCTAAAGCTTCCCTGCTGATTCATAACTCCATACAGCTATACAATCTGTACAACTATACAATTTAAAGAGCTCTAAGTTGTGCCAGCCAATCTGAAATAAAATCATCAGACCAACAAAACCTTTGTTTATTTTCAGGTTTATATAAAGACGTATGGTGAACATGTTGGCTTCAGAATTTTCATGGATGCCATACTGCTTTCTCTGACAAGAAAAGTGAGTACATCTGTACAGTCATCTGTTCTGTGTGTCCTAATGTATAGAAGCCTGGGCTTAACAAATGTACTTCAGCATATTTGTTGCTATTGCTGTTAAAAGGCCCTTCTTGTTCTTTGATGAGTAATGGAAAGGTCAGATGGATTTTCCTTGTTTGAGGTTGGCATGTTCTAGAGTACTATCTGATCAGTGGGTAGAATATCACAAAAGTTAATTGAAAAGCGATCTTTCATAGGAGAGTTTGATAGATTTGGGCAGAGTGTGATGAGGGGGGTTTTTTGTGTAAATAGACCACCCTGTAGCATCTAATAGAAAATTTTGCCTCTGCTAGTATGTATTTTACAGGAAGACTGAAAAAAATAGGGAGCATATATAGTTCTCCATTAAATTCCTCATGTTGAAAACAAGATGAGAAGAACTGGGAAAGAGTATCAAAAGGATGGCAGGTAGCTTGTGGGAAAACTCCCTTGATGTACACGCAAAAAGCACCACACAGACTCTTTCTTAGGGAAACTTTGGAGAAAAACCTGACTTTATGTACATAGTGACAAAATATAGCAGGGCTGAAGTTTCAGCACACACAAATACGTAGTTGTTACATGAAGAGTAGTAACAGAAATATGAAGATATTTAAGTTAATATCCGGTTTTGACTGTAAAAAGACAAAGCACTCGCCTTTTAAGAAGGAGAGAAAGAAGAGAGGAGCTACTGAATTATGGAGTTTTTAATCTAAAAAAAAAATCCTTCAAACAATCTAATAAAAAACAAACATTATTTATATGCAGCTGAAAGATTGTCATTGGTATGAAACAACATGGAAATATCATAAAAATATCAAGTCATACCTATGTAAGTTCTTTCTATAACAAAATAATAGGCTTCCTGTATGGATAACCAGTATCTTAATTTTAGTTAGACTTTTGAGAGTAAGTCTCACAAGTTTCTCATACATGTGACAGGAAGACTTTGTCTAGAAAAACTACTGTAACCTGCTTGGAAAGCCTTACTTAAATAATAGTTGCCAGTGTTTCCAGAGAGGAGAAAGGAGTCACAAATATGTTCTTCAGTAATTTCTCCTACCTTCAGCCCACATTTAATAACTTAGTTATATTTTGACTGAAAGATGGACTAGAGAATATGCTTATAGAATTTTCAGGTAACAAAAATGAAAGAACCTGCAAGCACTTCACAGTACAGCATCCTAATTTGAGATTTTCTTAACAATTAAGAGAAATTGTATGAAAAAACAGATAAACTAAAGTGACAGGAGCAGGATACTACACAAAGGCTTAGTAAGGCATGTAGTTATGACACCTATCTGAAATAGGAAGTGAGTGGTTGTCTTCTGCAGCAAATTGTGATAGTTACAGGATCACAAATTTGACAGGAGTCAACAACGGTGGCATGCTGTGGCGAAAGGATAAACACACACCTTAACAGAACAAACATAAGAAAGAAATGTAAAGTAACCTTTCCACTATACTCATGATTAGTAATGGATTAGTTATGCTGTTATGTCTGCCTTTGGGTGTTATGCTTCAAGAAAGATTGTTCAATTACTGCCATTGCACAGGTAAGTGGTATGTATGCTACATATACAAATGAAAATTCATTTAAGTGGGGGTTGTTTCATCTAACAGTGTCTAAGAGAAGTTGTGAATGTAGCTTTTAATTATCTAAAGGTTGCTCTATGGAAGATGAAAGTTCAGTAGTGTTGAACAGGAAATGATGGAATTAAATTGCAGCAAAGGTATTTAGCCTGAATCTTGTAAAAGACTTGCTACTCCAAAGACAGAAAGCATTTGCAGATTTAGAAAACACAATTTGTCTCATGCCCATTAAGTCCTGTAGGCATTTTATTAAGGCGATGTCACTGAAAGGCAATAGATTATTGGGTAGGGGAAGAAGATTTAACCTGCTGAATGGTTCTGTCATTGAGGATGTAAATAAAATAACATTTGTAGCTTTTCTATGTTCATTATAACCATTAGATGGCACTGTCCTAACAGAGTTTAATGCTGCAGGTTAAAGCGTTAGCCAAACCCCATCTGAAATGAAGGCACAGAATAAAACCCTTTATGTCAGTCTGTATACTGATGGCAGAGTACTGCTTTGGGTCTCTGTCTGTGGACTTTCTGGATGTCTCTGCCAAAGGTATTCTCATGTTAGAGAAAGATATCTCCATTTAGGAGGGTGCTTGATATTTGGCAAATTATTATTTTCTTTCTCTGTCCATAAATTAAATTAAAAACCTAAAGAAACCTATTTGGGCCACAGAAGAATCCTGAAATGTTAGCCTGTGGCCAACTATTCTGATCTAAAGAACAAAAGAGTTTGAGAGGGTAAATGCTTTCATGCATATATATGATGAGGAATCAGCAAAATGTTTCAACTTTATTTTTATCTGTATATATATTTTTTAATTTGAGAATTATTAATAATCAGGATTGATCTTTCTTCAGAGAAGGTGTTTTCTCATGTAACTATTAAGGTACTTGATTATAACACTTGAAAAATACACGCACATACAACAATAATCTCTATGTTATCTGTTACTAGTCAGGACAGAGATCTTGGAGTTATTCCAACAGTTTTCAAAATATGACAGTACAATAATGAGATGTTCATAATAGTCAGTTAAGACTTAGTAAGGAGGGAGGCAAAAGCAAGAAGAAAAAAAGATTATGTCACAGAATAGAACCTGTGGCATGACATTAGGAAAAATTTTTTCACAGAGAGAGTGGTTAGACACTGGAATAGGCTGCCCAAGGAAGTGGTGGAGTCACCATCCCTGTACGTGTTTAAGTCGTTTAGATGTGGTGTTGGCGGATAATGGTTTAGGGGAGACCTTTGTAGAGTAGGGATAATGTTTGAACTCAGTGATCCCAAGAGTCTTTTCCAACCTGAATAATTCTATGATTCTATGATAATTAACCCCAGGCAGGCCTGATTAAATATGGTCTTTCCATCATGGCTGTTAATTTCTGTTATTTCTCTTCCGTCATGCAGACAGAGGGCAAATCAGTTCACTGGTGTGACAGAAAACTAATTTGCCACCCAACAGGAATTTTCTGTACAGTTGACAAGGTGGTTCAACTTACCTTGGAGCTGTATGATTGCTTTCTAGATCCCAGTTCTAGCCTGCTACAAAGACTGTAGCCAATCATGTAAAGTGTAACAAGAAACCATCCTCTAAACTGGGGTGTTCCTATCCATTAAAAAAACCAAACAAACCAAGCCAAAAAAACATGAGTGTTTATGTGACTGTGCAAATCTTTAAAAAAAATTATTGCAGGCTTTACCATAGTCTTAGTACTTCTAACATGTTTCTAAACTTTAATAATCGATTATAAGTACATGAAGTATATTAGAGACCTGGCTATTTTTTTCTCTTAGTAGTTTACAATATGCAAGATGCCAGCAGAAGAATAATGCTTTGTATTAAAATGCATCTGTGCCTACTTTGTTTCTGTTTAGGTGAAAATGCCAGATGTAGAATTTTTTGTTAATTTAGGGGACTGGCCTCTGGAGAAAAGAAAGTCCCCACAGAACTTGCACCCTATCTTCTCATGGTGTGGGTCCAGTGAATCAAAAGACATTGTCATGCCAACATATGACTTAACAGACTCAGTTTTGGAGACTATGGGCCGGTAAGAAACTGCTTAAAATTTTCACAAAATTCACAGTGAATGATCTTCCAAAAATATATTTTGTGTTAACAGAATATTAACTGTTTTACTCTTTATTTATTCATTGAGAAATTAACACCCTCTAGATAGGCAATAACTGGGTAATCAATATCTCAATTTTAAACAAGTTCTGTATTATGTAACATAAATGACATATATTAAAATATTTCACTGTTTTATTTAAAAAATCTAAATTAATCTAAACACAGAGAAGTCACTAAAAATAGCACTCAGAAGGAATGTTTCAAGAGGGGGTATTTTGTTTGTTTGCTGTGTTTCCCTCCCATTAATATGTTGACAACTGGTTAGGTCTCTTTTTTCCTGATTTTCCTTAGTTTCTTTTTTTCTGTATCCTTTAAAGCCCAACTTAGCCAGAGCCCTTGTCCTAGGACCTACTGTGTCCCAGTTTGATTTCTGTTGATCAGTGGCCTTCGGAACTGCTATCGCTGTCTTGAAGCACTACAAAGCCAGAAAATCTTTATCTGCTTTGAACCTGTTTATCATTTCACTCCATTCAGTTCAGGTTCCTTGGCTTTAATATCAGGACCTTTCCTAAATTGTTCCCCCCTGTTCCCATAGTTCATGTGCTTTAATTTAGCAAAGGAAGTTAAATATGTTTTATTAAGCTAGCTACATAAAAACCTTCCTTTGGACTACCACGACTGCCTTGTCACCATTATCAGCTATTGCATTACCCTGTCTGGCAACCATATCTGCTTTTAGCCACTTTTTTTTCCATGACAATTGACAGGCCCTTTTTCCACACACCATGTTGTCATTGAACTGATGCTGGTTTGCCACAGGCCTGTGAACTTCACATTCCTTATATATTTTTGTCACTGCAAAAATACTGTTACAATGCGTAGAATCATAGAACCATTCAGGCTGGAAAAGACCCTTGGGATCACCGAATTCAACCATCATCCCTACTCTACAAAGGTCTCCCCTAAACCATATCCACCAATACCACATCCAGGGATGGTGACTCCACCACTTCCCTGGGCAGCCTATTCCAGTGTCTGACCACTCTTTCTGTGAAAAATTTTTCCCAATGTCCAGTCTAAACCTCCCCTGTTGCAGCTTGAAGCCATTCCCTCCTGTTCTGTTCTTGTTCTAATTACCTGTGAGAAGAGACCAGCACCAACTTTTCTACAATGACCTTTCAGGTAGTTGTAGAGAGTGATGAGGTCTCCCCTCAGCCTCCTCTTCCTCAAACTAAACATTCCCAGCTCCTTCAAGCGTTATATACAGGTGTGCTCATGACTTCCCTTCATCCTTGGTATTTGTTGGTGCTGTAAACTCTGTTAAGTAATTGCACTTTAAAAAATTTCCAGTAGGCTTTACTATGAAATAATCTCTTTCTCCTCCAGAGTCAGTCTGGATATGATGTCAGTTCAGGCAAATACTGGCCCATCATGGGAAGACAAGAATACCACAGCGTTCTGGAGGGGACGTGACAGCCGCAAAGAGAGGCTTGAACTTGTAAAACTGAGCAGAAAATACCCAGAGATCATAGATGCTGCTTTCACAAACTTTTTTTTTTTTAAACATGATGAAAGCCTCTATGGCCCTATTGTTAAGCACATTTCATTTTTTGACTTCTTTAAGGTAAGCCACCAACCATTTTTCATAGACCTAGGTTCTTGGTGTTTCCCATTATCAAATTACTTTGCATGTATTATTAATTATAAAGTGATTTTTAGTTTTTCAGCACACCACCAATAACAAGCATGAGTAAGCATCCCTCCAGAGGGATTAACTGCTATGTATCTCTTACACTGAGGATAATAATGTTTGCTTTACATCTAAAGGTTCTGTAGAACCTCGTGTCATCCATATAACTCCAAGTTCCTTTTTATTTCTTTCTCCTGATTCAGCGATCAGGACTACTAACATAACTAACACAGTGGGAAAATCAGTGGATGAAGTGACACATCTACCCTCACATCCGAGGATGAGCGTCTAAGAATTTCTGGAGAACTTAAAATTGATGAAGAGGGCATCCCTGTGTAACCTGCACTGTGATGAATTCCAAACTAAATAATAAAAGCAACTTAAACATTGGTGCTTGCCTAGCCAATCCTACATTTCTCAATATAGGCAAGTCAGTAATATCAGTGCCCTGAGAATAATATAACCTAACCAAGGTACTTGGATCTTCTGTTTGTTAATAACTTACAGTCCTTTTCTTTCCAGTATAAATATCAAATTAATATTGATGGCACGGTGGCAGCATACAGATTGCCTTATCTGCTAGCAGGAAACAGTGTGGTGCTAAAGCAAGACTCCATCTACTATGAGCATTTTTATAATGAGCTGCAGCCATGGAAACATTATATTCCATTTAAAAGTGACCTGAGTGATCTACTAGAAAAACTACAGTGGGCAAAAGAGCATGATGAAGAGGTAAATACACATTTAGAAATACTCCATAATGTTTCTAGACAAAATAGAAAGAAAAAAAAATCCATTTATTTAAAATAAAAAAATCTATTAGAAGGTCATCAAGCCTACAAATAAGAAAAACATATTTTAAAAATACAGAATACTGTCCTTAATTTGAAACTAACTTGAATTGTGGAAAAAATTAGGAGTATTTTCATAAGAATGCCTTATTTTTTAAATTAAGAAGGCTTAAATAAAAATAAGTAATTCTAAACTGTCAGCACCATACTTAGCTCCAGAATTAATACTGAAGTAACTACTTTTTGACAATTTAAAAAAAAAACAAACACGTTTATTTTCTTTGACAGGCAAAAAGCATTGCAAAATCTGGACAAGAATTTGCAAGAAACAGCCTCATGGGAGATCACATTTTTTGCTACTATTTCAAACTTTTCCAGGTTAGTGTATTTCTAGCAGCTATTACCCCAAAAATAGAAATCCCACAGAAAGAATTCAGGGCAATGGAATATGGAGCTGCTGGAAATTGGCCAGTCCAGTACTTGAAGCTGCAGAGCAAGCAGCAGCAATTAAGAACTTTGGTTGGTTTACGAACATTGCATGCAGTTATTTTCTCTTAAACCCTTTAAGATTCCAGTGCCGGTTTGAGAGAAGCATTCGGATCCCATAAATCTTGATCTAATCTGCAAGAATATGTTACCCACCATGATCACAGAATTCCAAATCAGACACACACCCTGTGAACCACAGCTGAAAATACCTGTGCATTAGCACCGAGATACCGAAACTCCAGTGAGGCACCCAGAGGGGCTCCTGCCTGCAGTTAAGTATCTGCTGACCCTGTCTGTGACACAGTGTGGAGTAACAGATTGTGTAGCCCCAGAGTTTCTACAAAATTACTCAGCTGTGTTGGTGCAGTATTTACAACCGGATGTACAATCTAACAAGTTTATGAATTTCACGTAAACATCAGAAAAAACTTCTTTACTGTGAAAGTGACAGAGCACTGGAACAGGCTGCCCAGAGAGGCTGTGGAGTCTCCTTCTCTGGAGACATTCAAAACCTGCCTGGACGCGTTCCTGTGTGATGTGCTCTAGGTGATCCTGCTCTGGCAGGGGGGTTGGACTAGATGATCTTTCAAGGTCACTTCCAACCCCTAAGATTCTGTGATTCTGTGAATTAACGATAACTTTGCTTTTTCAAACTAGGAATATGCCAGCTTGCAAGTGAGTGAGCCAAAAATCAGAGATGGGATGGAGAAAGTGCAGCAGCCTGATGATGACCTTTTTCCCTGCACTTGCCACAGAAAAAAGGTACAGGACACAGCCTTGATTGTCAAGTGCTTGCATGTCTTCAGTTCATACTCAACCAAATGGGAACAGCCATTGCTGAATAGCCCAAGGCATCAGTTACCAGGCCATTAACGCCTATCGAATTTAGTAACATTTCTTCATGTATTTACAAGACTAGACAGTTAAAAACTGAGTTTCTAGTTAACTGAAAATGTTTATTTTTTCTTGACTACAGGCCAAAGATGAACTCTGACAGAAAGAAACAAAACATTTTTTTTAATATTTACCTATATTGAGAATGCCTTATTAAAGAAAGAAGAAAAATTTGGATTAAAATGCCAATGGATAATGGCAATGGATATTATGAAGTTCAGTGTATCATGATCTACATATTGGAAGAAAACCAAGCATCTCGTATCTCCTTCTATCATGCAGTGGTTGCTAAGCCTAGTTCAAAAACATTTTTTATATTTTTTATTTCTTTTTTTAATAAAAGCCATGTTTGTATCAGTCATGTGTTACTGTCCTGAGATATGGTCGAAATGCTTTTTACTCATGTTTGTTATACTGAGTCTATTCACAAGGGTATTCTGCAACAGGGCACGTAAGAACTGCAGATCTCCCCCACCCATGTAGCTTGTTCAGACCATGACTTTTTTCTTTCTGAATTGGCATTTCATTTAAAATCATATGGAATTTATAATGTAACTTTTTAACATGAAGGAAAAGCACAGTGCTATTGGACACATTAGGAATATTAGACAAAGGTTTTAAGATCCATGCAGTTTTTTCACAGATGCTTTTCCTGTGAAACTCTCTCTTTGGCAATATGAAAAGAATTAAGTAGTATGAAGCAGGGACCACCGAATCTAAACTCATCTGTCGTGGTTCCTTGTCTCTCCTGCCTGGCTCACCATTAATGTCATGGTTTGGGCCCAACACGACAAAAAAAGGAACAGCCCCATGGCTGCTCACTCAACTTTACACACACACACACTCTGGGATGAGGAGGACCAAGCTCATGGGTTGAGACAAAGGACAAGGAGGGATCTTCACCAATTAAGGTCCCAGGCAAAACAGACTCAACTTGGAGAAAAAATAGTAATTTAATTTCACACTAATCAGACACACACAGGACACAGACACACACAGAGCAGGGCTTGCATCATTCTCTCACAAGTCTAATTATTTTAAAAATACCTGTTTTCCGCTAATAGTAAGTAATTCAACTGTTACTTTCTCAGTGTATCAACATCATCTGAAAATTATTGATAGGTGGATTTAAAGTCAAGTCTGAAGTCATCAAATTATCAGTCCAAAGGGAGGTTTTATTTTCTCTAACGCAGTCAATTAAGAATTCACATATTTATTTTCTTTGCAGTCATTTAGATGTGTGCTATGCTTAGCAAATAACATTTCTGCTGGGAGATGACCATTTTTGAGGCATCTTGTGAGAAGCAACAGAGGAATATTGTATCTGATTTTTAACTTTCACTTGCCTTTTACTACAGTAAAAGCAAACCTAAGGAATAGTTTGTTAGATCATGTGGTAAACAATATGTCATAATTTAAGTATACTAAGCTAGAGTCTTAGATATGTTCTACAATACAGCACCCAAATAAAGCTATCTGATGTAAGCACCTACCAAACCATTGTAACAATCCTCTCAGCTCACAAGGGATCACCTGGTGCAAGTTTCAGCAGCTTTGCACTGTTACAACAGCTCCTCCCAAGGCCAACCTCCATGCTCAAGCTGCCTGCTCTCGTTCAACTGGTCACACTGCAGCTGTGAGCAGCAAGCAACAAGCCATAAGATGCAGAATGACTGAAGCTGGTTTTAGGGAACTCTTGGCAGTGGAGGTGAGACCACCATCTCAGGAGACAAACCAAGATGCTTTTCTCAGGACTAACTAGCCATTTCATCTCAGGGGTCATGATTCCGCTGACACTTGCTGACAAGTTGGCTGAAAGCAATTAATCTTTGGTTATACCAGCAGGTTGGTTACTAATAGCCCACAGTGGGGAGGTCTCTAGCTGCAAGAGCACACCAAGTATTCCATCCACTCTGCAACATCACAGCTCAGTTGAAGACCAGAGTTCCTCCTGCTGATGGGTAATGAGGTCCAGACCCTTACCTGCCTCTTCCAAGCTCTTCTGACAGAAGCAACCTGTCATACCTGCTCCCTCCCCTCCCTGCATCACGGGCTTTGAAGCACACTGGAGTGCCAGGGTACAGCACCAAGGCTGAGTAGTAAAACCCATGCAGGCCAGCCTCAGAGGATATGATTCTACAAATCTGTAGGTTTATATTTCAATCAAGTATAGCCTTGGTAATATACTCAGAATGAAAAGCATCTCAAGATTTGCTGTCAAAATCAAACTAGATTATTTGCAGTACGTTACTTCAAGTATCAGTCAAAAGCATTTTCATGTTAATGCAGAGCAGGAAGTGTTGTACACAGTTATTTGCACAGAAACACAGAAAGCAATGCTGACATGGTATCAAATATTTGGTCAATTTTATGTTCTTTATTGTTTTGCATATTTTTTTCATTCACACGTTTTATTTGGATTTACACTTAGACCTCTGAAAGGGTCTTTAAAAAAATACATCTCTTAGAAATAACAAATTCTGATTTTCTCCATGTAGGAAAAGCTAAATTAATATAGAGCTTAAATGCTGCAAATTATTTTTGCCCCAGTTCAATATTCTCTCTAAGCCAGGAAAAAACTTGAGCATTTATTTCTTCCATGATATCGTCTGTTGTCCGTCCTTTGACTGCCATCCCATGGTTTGCTTTATCAACCCAATGGATTTTTTTAGGGGCTTTCATTTTGCTTGCCACACCTTCCAACAATTGCTACAGAGAAAATAAGAAGGAAAAAGTTGGAGAATCAGCTGCTACAAACTGTGCAATTCCTAGATAACCTCTCCCTTTCCTTGTGCAACACATAATAGGCAGCTCTCAAAAACAAAATGGATGTGCATACACGTTAAAAACACATTGACAAAGATACCAGGATACTGTGTTCAGTAATGGTATTTGGTCAAAGGTTCACCCTCACTCAAACACAAAATATAAGAAAATTAGAACATAAAAACTGCAAAGGTCACAACACTGTGCAGGCTCCTTCCCCATGAAGGGAAAATGACAAACGCTTTTACTGCCAGAGGATAGTACTAGAAGTAAAATTAGAGGACTTCTTATGTCAGATTTGTCTACAAGTGGCAGAGTAGTAATATATTCCCTAGGTATTAGCTTTGATTCTTTTAAACTTCATCAGCAAACAGATCTAAGAACCATCTCAGAAAGTCTTGAAGATTTCCCCACTAAGAGGGCACTCCAAAGATCTGCTGGTTATAGCTTGACTTTTCTTGGTGACAACTCCTCACAAAAGCATTAGGACTCCTTATAAACTGTCGAAGCACGGAAAATGCCTATTGGATGCAGTCCCAAATTCAAGCTGAATTGTTCAAGAACAAGAGATAACAATTTGCAAAAAAACAAGGCAGAAACCTCCTTTATTCAGGTCTCTGCACACCTTCATCTCTACAAAAATACTGCTTTCTACCACAGAAATTGGACTTGTGGGTAGAACTGCTTTGCTAGAATTTGTCATGAAAATGTGACCCATGTAGACTGGTAGCACAGCATAGTGTTTATGTTTTGTAACCTGTAACAGCTAACACAGATGAACAAATAGCTCGCTCTTTCCATAGGCCGCTTTTAATTTGGACAACGTTATCCTATCCAAAAAGACAGAACATTGAAATTAGCAGTATTTTAGTGACCCAAAGATGAGTTCGCTTGGATCAAGCATGAGGCAGAACTTTTAAGCACCAAAAGAAACCACCTCTAGGCTTCTTTATGTCGATGAAGTTTCCTACCCAAGGCTTCCTTCAGAAGATATACTTTTATTTATATAGAGAGAGAGAGAGTGAGAAGGTTGTTAATGAAAGTCACAGCTGTACATACCAATACAGACATCACTCAGACTCATTCCTATCCCTCCATACTGCCCCTTCATTGCAGGATTTACAAGAGTACTCACTTTTTCACACATCTCATCTGCTGACCCTGAGACAAACAGCACCGGACACCTGATAGATAATAAATCTTCATCTCGGAGCTTGGACTGAAGTTTTGGTCGATGCAATGGGTAAGATAAACACACTAGACCTTGAATGAAGTCATCATCATCCTCCTGGCTAAGATGCCTTATCACAGATGCAGCAGCTCGTGAGCCCATGGAACGGCCTTTCTCCCATGTTAAAACAAAAGAGAGTAGCTGCTGTCATCTCATCTACATTCTGTTCAAGTAAACAATGACTAAAAACAATCCAACTGAGTGTATCTCAGCCTAACAGTAGTGCAAGATGCTAGGAATACTTCTCATTTGCTTCATGAAAAATATTAATCCTAATTTCAGCTTTTTCCTGCTAAAATATATGTCTGGTTATATTATGTTTTCACATTCCCATTTAAATAAGAAGTGAAAAAAAAAAAAAATAAAATAAAATAAAATAAAATAAAATAAAAGAGAGAGAAATGGAGAGGAATAACAGCCCATTCTAGGGATAGGAGGAAGAGAGGGGCAGGTCCTTTCCCAGACCTTAGGAATTCCAGAGAGCAACACTATTATTTTGTATCATTTTTTAATGCAACCTTAATCTGCTCAATTTGAAAATTAAGTCTGTGCCTTATTCCCAAAAGAAATCCAGCAAGTGTTTTTGCACACTCAAACTTGAGCCTAGAAGTAAAAATAGAAAGGGGAAAAAAAAAAAAAATAAAGTGTGAACTTGTAGCATGAGGTCAGTCAGTAACAGTAAGGGGATATCAAAATATCTCCTCAAAGGAGAGGCATATAAGCTGACAATGCTCTGTAATTGAGTGCTAGAAATGGCTGGTTCCAGTTGGATTAACTTGCATCAGCACAGATTTGGTTTCGCTTAGTCAGAGAACAGTCTCTGATACAGTTTTCCCATATCAAGTTATCACACTAATCACATCCACTTCCCTTTTACATCTAATATAACTGATTTTCTACCTGCCACTAGTTTTTTTCTACCAAAACCTGCTTGGGCAAAATGGTTTTCCCTTTACCAGTAGCTAGAATTCTTCAAGAACCACAGTTAATTAGTACACATGGGTTATCAGGGGTACTTATGCTCTGCCACTTAAAAGTGACTATAAAGTTTTCTTCCAAAGCACCTGGAAAACACGGTAGGTTGCTCTTTCCTTCCTGCTTCTGCAGATAAATCTGTTGAATCATGAGAAGGGTGAAAAGTTCTAGACAGCCATGGCTCCAAGGGATGTGGTGAAAGCTGCAGGCTGCATGTCCCAAGCAGTGCTGCTAGAGCCAGCCGTGAGAGAGCTGAGCTGTGCACCCACCAGCCACAGCACTGGTGGCTGGTGACAGTCAGACACCTGAATGCAGATCAGGTATGTAAGTGGGCTTGGCACTTACATCCCCATGACAGTCCATGGACTGCTAATCCATTAAAGAA